TATATATATATATATCATCGGTCCTTTGTCCAGGTACATGTAAACATAGTTCAACCAAGTATGGTTATGCTGATATGGTTCGGCTATTCAGTCAACACAATTCTGCCAAATATGGTTTGGTTCATCTGGACAATATGGTTCAATTTCATCTCGAAAATATGGTTCGATTTAGTTTCAACAATATGGTTCACTTTGTTCTCGAAAAAAATTCGGTTCATTCTCGGAAATATGTTTTGGTTCGGTCTTGACCATATGTTTAGTCCAGTACGGGAAATATGGTTCAGTTCGGTCTTGACAATGTGGGTCGTTTCGATCTCAAAAATATGGTTCGGTTCGATCTCATCAATATGGTTTGGTTTGTTCTCGTCAATATGACTTTTTTCGGTAATAAAGTGTGCTTCTTCACAAGACAAAAGGTACTCACAACACCTCAGGTACAACTCTCACGCTTACATTCCCAATACATAGCTGTTAGCTTTCTAGACAAGGTAGAAGGTACTTCTGACTATATATAAACCTCTCAATACACATAATATGGGGTAAGTTCAAAATCTCTCACACACATCGCATATACATATAATTGGTTCCATACAGCTCGAAGGATCCAACCCATATTTCGTATCAATAATAACTTGATCGTTAGAGGTCGATCCCTGGAGACAAGTCTTGGGATGACTATAATGATCTTTTTGATGAGTGTAACATTTTTGAAATCGAGACTCAGAAATGGCTAAAAGTTATATATCGAATATCAAAAAACCGATCGAACCAGTAACGAAATACCATGTTGCATTATCAATTAATTTAGAAATACTAAAAGGTTAACAACATACTATTACACCAATATTTATTATTCACCATAGGAGTAACTACAAAAGCCTTGCAATATTAGAGCAACGTGTATGCATTGTTCTTTCAAAATCATGCTTATGTGGCTACTCATCATACAGCTAAAAACGCATTTCGTTTGACATCTCTATAAAAGTTTGTTTATTTTAAGGAACAGACCCGGTTTAGGGCATGGGAAATATAGGCAATGGAACAGGGCCCACAATTTTAAGGGGTCCAATTTGTTTTAATAGTATATGATGTATCGGTTCAGCAGCCCAAGCAATCCAACATCATTTGAAATCAACGTCAAACCTAAGAGGCGAAGACAGCAACGATTATTCGATCAATACATCGTGTTCATTTTCGTAAAAAAAAATTCAATTGCAGCAATCAATGTCGACAGTCGATCAGGACAGGGCATCAGGGCATCAGGCCTCAGCGACAACGTGCAACAATCATCGAGACAACAGATAGGTGAGGATCGATTACTATTAGAGTCTTAGACGATTATCCATTTATCTTGTATTCCTGTTATAACTTTATCAATGATTAGTCATTCTTGATTATTGGTCCTGCTAATGTAATAGTCTAATAGATTATGAGAAATTAAGGAATGAGGAATAAAGAATTAACGAATATGAGTTTGTAAATTATAATTGTCAATTCATTTGCATACTTGATTCTTGAATCAGTTGAATGTTTGAATGAATTATAGAATAAATAGATTATCAATTTTTCAGATTCATGGTATGTTTAATTGTTTAATTGTTTATCTTTAACTGTTTAATTTTTCAGATTCATGAATGTTTAATTGTTTATCACTATGTCATATTATCATATTGAAATCTGATTGAATGATTTACAATGTTGAATGAAATCAATGAATGATTTTGAAATAGATTATTAGAAACTGAAATTAAATTATGAGATTATGTTTATTGTATAATTGTTTATCAAAAAATTGGAATTCAGAAACCAAAGTGTTTAAAGAATCAAATTATGTTTATTGTTTGTAAAATTGTAGAGATGAAGTCTATGAAGAGTTGATCAACCAATTTGCAATCAAGAATGCTAGGAAAGCTTCACGGATCGTCGGTTAGCTGTTAGGATATGTAATTACTCATTAAAATATTATGATTTTTCTTTGTTTATGGCTATAAAGTTTGTCGTCATTTTAATAAAAAAAAAATAGTTTATGTAATTTAATTCGTTATGTGTTAAGGCCTAAGGGACTTTTTATCCACCTCGTCCTGGGCATTTGAATCCTCAGAACCGACCCTGTTAAGGAAAATGAGACAGTAGCCCAACAATGTAGTTCAAATTTTCCCATTCAGTCCCTTAAATTATTTTCAGGCTTCATGAGGTAATAAAGTTGTTTTTGTCGAGTCTAATTGGTTACTTTGGATAGAATGAAGGGGCAACCTGTTTACAAAGGGGGATTAAATCAGTAATATTGAATCCAAATCCAACATCTACAATACAAAAGTTAAAAGTGAAATACTAGCATACTATGAACACTGTAATTAACATCCCTTATTGCTAACCTTGAATTCGTGATTCTAGACCTAAATCAGTTTTAAAAAGCTACAACTATATAAGCTTCAAGCCCTTCAAGAATAAAGTTTTAAGAAATCATCTGTTACAACTGCAAGTAAGATTCATCTGAATAATGCCTTGTAGATTCTTCTTTCTTTTTCCTGACAAACCCAAGCTTGATTATGTAATGTGGGAAGAAGAGAGATAATCAACAAGAATTTTGGTTACTTTTCATTTATATTTGACAAATAGAAGAAAATTGTAGCTTTATTGAACTTCATATGCTTTTCCTGGTAACTTAATTTTGTTTTTATTGTATAATACTGAGTTGAAATGAATTACCGATAAATCCATGTCGTTCTGTTCTGTAGAGATGGATACTACTGTTATGAGCGATGCGATGATGATGGTTGCGATGGAATCACAACCGGCGGCGACAAATTTGATAGCTCCAATGGAAGTGGAGTTCATGGAGTGTGATTGTTGCAGATTAACAAAAGAGTGCATGCTGCTATACATTGAGAGGATTCTTGAGATGTATCAAGGAAAATGGATCTGCGGATTATGTGGAGAAGCTGTTAATGACGAGATCCTGAGGAAAAAGAAAGGCTGATTAGCTCTAAAGAGACTTTGGTGTTTCACATGATCTTTTGTATTGAAGTTGTAGAGAGATGGAATGGATAAGAAGAACAAGAGAGAGAGCGATCATATGAAGAAGTCAAAATAATCATGATTTTGACTTTTATTTTTGACTAATTTGTTGACTATGTACATGTGACATCTTCTACCATTTGATTTACGTAACAAGGACTAAAACGATGGTTCATTTCCCACCCTATGCCCCGATAAAGCATTCAAACAAAGTTCATCCTCAAAATGGATAAGTGTAAACATTGAATGGGCACTTGTATAATACATATATACATGTTTCTAGCCTATCAATATATAATCGAAAAACATGGTCCACCACAACTAACTAAAATCCTGACTTGCTCAATAATTCATCATAGTATAAGTCTGAAGCAGCACCAAACATCGACTAGCTCCTATTTCGGACTAAGGAGATTTATTAGACAGTTCCCTTTTTAACATGAGGAGATCAATAATTAGTGTTTCTACACGGTTGTGTTATATGAGACACATTTGATTTATATAATCTTCATGATCATACAAAAGGCATCACAATGTTGCTTCTCCTAACACATTTTAATAAAGATGTTTAATTGCGTATGCATGCTAGTATAAGTCCGAAGCAAGATTGGACATCGACTGGATCCTACTTCAGACTTGGGGGACTTATATATATATATATATATATATATATATAGAGAGAGAGAGAGAGAGATAGGTTCAGGTGTTCAA